GCGTGGGCAAGGCGGGCCCCCGCGGCAGCAAGGCAGGCTCCTTCCCCATGTCCTGCGAAGCCTCGAAACTTTTTTGCAAGTTAAAAGTTTATTTACTAAAAGACAGGCAGTTTGGAGACAACATAGTCATTAAAACAGAGGCTGGGGTTGAGAGTTTGGTCTGGAAAGAGAATATAATAGGATTTTTTGCTGAGACTTTTGTTAGCTTTGTTCTCAAAGGAAATATTCTTCATTTTTCCTAGGAGATTTTTTAGCCCAAACTCCGCTCAATTTAATATCTGAATGATCAAAAAAAGTCATCCAAGCTCCAGTGATTTTTTTTTTTTTTTTCCCCTTTCAGTTTTCTTTTGCAAAAGAAAAAGCAACCGTTTCTGCTCTGGCTGCCCCACCGTATTGCTTGCTGCCCTGTTTTTCAGAGTCCCCCAGAGCAGCCGGAGCCCTCGGGTGCCCGGCTCTGCTCTCCGGCCGGCCGGGGCCGGCAGCCCCAGCCGCTCTCGGCTCTCAAAGGGCCCTTGGGAGAGGCCGATGCACCCCACGGCCCACGCTGCCGTACTGGGCTCCAGCTTTCCCATTTAATTCATTAAATTAGTGCAAAACCTGTGCATAAGCAAGATGCAGCCCCAGCAGCCGCAGCACGCTGCGCCCTGTGCTTGGTAGGTGGCCTGTATAAAAATAACGCCCATATAAAAATAACGCCCGTATAAAAACAACTCCCATACAAAAATAATGCCCATCTGGCCCCGAGGTGTCGGGGACATTTACCACCATCGGCTCGCTGAGCCGCCTGGGCCTCCCAGCTCTATTTAGCTGCTGCCGTGTCCTCCCCGCACCGGCCTGGTCCAGCATCGCCTCGAACGGCAGCGCCTGAGTCAGCCACAGCCTCACCCCCAACGGCATCGCCCCGTCGGCACCAGCACCAAAACCACTTTGCAGAGGGGCTGCACCCCTCGAAAGCTCCTTTCTGCGGGTGACCCAGTGCACATCGGTACAACAAAGCCCTTTTTATTTGTCCTCTTTTTCTTTTCCCTTTCCTCCTTCTCTCTTTTCATTGCAGCTTTAAACGAGGCTGCGAGTAAAGTGTGGATCAGTTTGGGATGGGAAGATCCTGGAAATAATAGCTACACCTCGGGGTGTTTCCTCTCCCAGTGGCTGTGAAGAAAAGGCGGGTATGTCTAGGGTTTGACTTGAAACATGTTTCCGCTGGCCAGGGCTGCGGAGCCGGGTTCTCACCCATATTAGCATTTATTGTGGTTTTGTTCGGGCTTTTCCTTTTTTTTTTTTCTCTTTCTTTTTTTCTCTTTCTGTGCAAATGCCACTATGGGTTACGCTTACAGAGATGCTGCAAAGGAGAGGCAGAACATCGGCTCCAGCACGTCCGCCCCGAGCCCCGCTCGATGGGGAAGGCGCTGGCATTGCCCCGGCACGCCGCGGCCGTTGCCTTTGCCGGGCTCATGAATAACGCTTGCGTTGAGTGGCTTGGCTCCTTGGGAGCCCCCAGCCTACAGCGCATTGGCATCAGATGCTATTGTAGGCTGGGATTTTTTTTATTTTTGCTTTTCAGCTGTCATTTGGGTTCTGGAGGCGAGTGGTGAGTGCTAAGGGGTTTGGGCTCGGACCGCCTGGGAATTCGGGTCCTGTTTAGGATTTGTGCCGGAGCTTTTGTGTCTCGGGAAGCGGTGTGGCGATGACAGGCGGCGGTCGGGGCGCGGGATGCCTGGCCGGGGACGCAGGCATCACCTGCCAGGTCCAGCTTGGTTCAGCGTGAGTGGCCCAGCCCCACCTCGGGGAAACCCAGAGGGGTTTTCTCAGGGCTCACAGCCCGGGGTCATCCCCCCGCCATCGCCTCCACGCACCCCCGGGAAGGCACCTGCCCGCCCTCCTCCCCGGACACCCTCGCTGCGCCTGCTCAGGCCAAAGTGCGGTCAAGGGCAGCCGCGACCCCCCCCGACACCGGATCCAGGCACCGGGGTGCTTGGGGAGGTGCCAAAATTGGACCCCGGAGAAGGAGCAGCACGAAGAACCTTCCTCCGTGCCGGGGCACCGATCTGCTCCCCCGGCGAGAAGTGAGCAGGCAGAAGGCACCGGGGAGACTTGTAACCGTACATTTATTATTCCACATGGGAAGTCATCACAATGCTTACAGGGAGGCCTGACGATATAATCACGTACATTGGACAAGAACATCGGCGCCGATAACAGAAAAGCAGAGCTGACCGCTTTGCTACGGCTTCGTACCAAGGTGGTTTCCACCCGCTCACGAAGGATTTCCACCCGACTCCGTTCTCAGCGAAGCCAGCGCAGCAGCGACGTCTCCAGCGAGAGCTTCTTCCAATGACTTCGACAGGAGCAGACCCTCCTCTTCCTCTCCCTCCCTCCCCGCCTCCCCCCTCCCCGGTGCCAAGTGCTACAGGTTAAAAAGACGGGCTACATATTAAATATAGGGCATTACCTTCAAGTAGGGCCGGTATATTACACAAACCACCACATCATTTGGTATCGCTAGCATTTTTTTTAATGTCCATCGTAAGACACCATTAAAAAAACCAACAACTTTCGCCTTCTTTATCTGCAAAGATCTTCGTTCTCATCTCCTTAGTTGTTTTTTGTTATTTTACCCTGCACATACAAGTATTAGAAGCATTATTAAGAATTGGATCCTTCAACACATTTAAGAATTATATTATTATAACAAATAAGACCAAAAATTAGATTTTATAGTTAAATATTCTGTGAGCCAGACAAAGGGGTTTTACTGTACAAGCGATTGTGCATTTTTTTAAAAAAGCAAATTATAGTGCAAAGCAAAAAACATTGGCCTGTCTTGTGACCATTTGCATACAATAGAGGTGCATATATTTACACCTTCACATGACAATATGTCATAAAAATTACATTGTTGCCATTCTTTTTATTATTTTCTTTTTTAAATTCACTACGAACAGTCTTAAATTAACCTATTACTACGAATGCCTTGTCATCTTTGTGCTTTCAATCAGTGGCGCGATTGGATGATTAACATAAATGCATCAAAACACAGGCTGCCGTGGTCCAGTTTCTACAGCTGGCAAGCACCGGAGAGGTGCTCGCCGTCGCTGAGGCAAGTAAAGGTTGCAGTTTTGCTGGGGTAGAGCTTTTTTTAACCATTGTTTAAAAGAGTTGTTCTTTTCGTTGCTTATTTAACTCGTGAGTGGTCATCGCAGCTTTCCAAGGAAGCCAGGATGGCTTGCTCCAGTCTTGACGTGGTAGTGCAATTACAGCGCTCCGTACCTCAACCGAGTGCTGACAAGCTGCCAACTGAGATTTGGGGATAGGCGCGCGGCCGTCACGGTGTCACTCAGATGGGGGGCTGGGAGGGCAGCTGTGGGGTTTCAATTTTCTTATGCTCATGCAAAAAAAAAAGTTTGGTTACTGGTGGCACTGGGGGCTGGAGACGGTCCCCGTCCCCTTGCCAGAGGGCAGGCTCCGAAGGGCAGCGGGTACCGCAGTTACGTGCTCCCCGGAGCCTGCCCTCGCACCCTCAGCCCTGTCAGCGTGAGGAATCCCAAATCCAGCCCAAACGCCCACGCCAGCAGAAAGCACGGCCGGCTTGCAGGAGGCGGCGTAACCCTGCAGCGTGCGTCCGAGCCAGCCCACTAACCCGGCCCTGGGGGAGCCCCTGCCACCTCTCTGGCTGCCTGCCACCTCCCGTCGCTGTCCCGTTCGGGTTTCAAATCCTTTGGTATCAGCTACGAGGGTGTGTGGTGCCCAGGAGAGCTGGTGCCTCCAAATGCCACGTGATGCCACCAGCTACCGACAGGCCGGCGGCACCTTTAGTGCCCCTTCTTCACCTTATTCATCTACAGCAAGACACCCGTGCTCTGGGTCACTGGGGGGAAGGGACGGAGGGTGAGGGGATGGAAAATGCTAATAACATTGCTTCGCAATTTTCCCACCACCAAGGGACTGGGTAGAAATTGCTCCTTTCTCCAAATCTCAGTTAGAGCTTTCAGTATGAACTGACAAGTGTAAGTCATTTCCTAATAAAAAAAGTCATCATGTGTCGATCCGCTCTGGGTGAAAACATGGGAAAGAATCATAAGAGAAATATGATGCTTTGCCACCAGCTGCATGTCTTGCCACTCAGAGAGGAGGAAAGGAAGACCCAGAGCCCGGTGGCAGGGTCACGCCAAAGGCTCCCGAGTCCCTTTTGCAGCTAAGGCGCTTGGAAGTGCATCTCATACATCTTGGATTGTCCTGAACGCCGCCTTCGCTTCAGCCACCATCACTGAGATTTGCTAAGAGGAGCAAAGAATTGAATGGTGAGGTCAGGACAAAAGAGCTAACAAAACAAAACACGTCTTGTAAAAAGTACATCTCATATGTAAACATACAGGAAAGAGGGGTCTGTCAGGCGCGGGATCAACCACGTTACTGTTTTAAAAATGACGACAATGATAAAAATGAACAATACAGCCTCTGCCGTCACCAACAAATAATAATAATCACATCACAGCTCTCGTTCACATGGCTGATGCCGGCCAGTCCGCGAGGAGCGCGCAGCCCCCACGCGTGCCCAAGTCCCCGCGGTGGTGCTGTAAACCAGACTCTCACGTGCCGCGTGTGGCTCCGGCGTCGTCCCGGAGCTCTTTGGTCGTCAGGGGCCCTACACTGGCGGGGAGGGAAGGAGAGGAGACAACGGGGGGTTTTCCTTTTTTTTTTCCTTTTTTTTTTTTCAGTTCAGTCTTCCTGCACTGGCAGGGAGATGGCTTGGACGGCTCCCTGGTCTTTTCTCTTCTCTGAAACATTTTGCAGAAGAAGGGTGAGCTTTTTGTAACTTTTGAATGCTTTGTGTGGGGAAGAGGGTGCGAGTGAGATGACTGAGAAGTGTTCTGCAAGAAACAAACATCTGATGCCACACGTCCTGTTTTTTTTTTTCCTATGTACAATCCACATACTTAAAACATACGAAAGGAACCACTTCGAGTGACAAATTCAAGCCTCATGGACGTTCATCTTGAAATGTAACGTAGGTCGTGGTCCATCTTCGCTTGATGTTTGCCCATGCTTGCATGCAGAGGATCCTGGTTTGCTTTTGGTTTGGGAGACTTTGGTTTGCCTTTTCCCTAGGCATCATTTTGCTCTATTCACTACCAAAAGGAGTAACGTACCGGTGGCTGATTAAGTCAAAGCTATCGGTGCCCAGTTGAGTTCCTCCTAGTAGGGTCTCCAGACCGACTCATCCATCCTGCCAGTAGTTGTCATGGTCGTCGGCGAGTTACTGTGGCTCCCGTCTGCATCCACCCCGTCGTTCTGATTGCCCAGGTTGGGATTCATTAAGTTGTTCCCCGCTGAGGCACTTGTACAAGAAGAGAGCATCCGGGTGGGGGAGCGCTCGCCCCCCGCCACCATGGAGAACTGGTAGGAGCCCGAGGACGTGCCGTAGTACAAATGGTAGGGAGAGGGGTTGGCCTGGAAGGGTCCACTTTGGTTTTGCGTGGAGCCGGGGTAGGGGGGCGGCAGGTAAGTGTGGTGGAAACGCGTCGTGGTGGGCATGCTGGTCATGCTGATGCCCCCGATGCCCGTGGCGGAGGGCGTCGCGGTGTAAGGGAAGGCAGCGGACATGGCGCCGGGGTAATGCATCCGCGGGTCGGAGAACCTGGTCTCGGTGAGAGCTGGCAGCGTTGGGAAGGAGCGATCGAACTGCCGGGGGTCAGAAAAGGGGCTCAGATCGGACGTGCCTGTTGGGGCGCAGGAAGAAAGTGGGCGGTTAGAGCACTATCCTTGAGGCTTGGAGAGTCTGTCCTATAGCCCGGGCCATCCCCTGCCCAAGGAATTAAAGTCAGAGGGAAAAGCATCGCTTGGATCTGCCAGGGAAGAGAGCTGGGGAACCTAAATACAAAAATCCTAAACCCATTTGTTTAAGTTGTTCTCATTTCCTGTCCTAAAATTTGTTGTTTCCTATCCAAGAAGGGACACAACCAAGCTGACTTCTCTAGGGGTCTATTCATCTCTGGCAGATTAAAAAAACCCACCCCATAAACACAGAAAAAAAATGTTTAGCCATTACATCAGCCCTGTAGTAAATAAATGGATGCAGGCCCCAGACGGCCGGTCCCTGAGATAGTTGGTGGTGTATACACAGACCCAGGGAGACAGAGAGGAAAAGCTGGAGCCCAGAGCAGCCTGCTAAGCCTTCTTGTGGGTGGCCTGTTCGTGCTGATACCATCAGGGGATGGAGCTGATAAACACACAGCTGAAAACTCCCAAGCTAGGAGCCACAATATCCCTCTGCTTGATTTCTCTGTGTATTTTTCTCCTTCCAAGAGGATAAAGAGAGTGAGAAATTTAGGCTTTCTGCTGCTGGGGGAAGGGAGACTTGAGTCAGCATGGTGGGGACATTACCCAGCTCCCTCGGGTGCCGGAGCCCCCCACGCCTTTTCTTGGGGGGTATAAACCCAAAGGGGGTCGTAGCCAGCCAGCCGGGAGAGGGACCTCTGCCCGGTGCTGCCAGGTCCCGTCCTCCTGAGGGAAGCCCATGTTGGAGAGGGGAATCCAGGCCAGCAGATCCTTTGAGGACCTCAAGGCTTTTCTGTGGCTATCTATCTCAGCTGTCCGGAGGCTGGTGGCATTTCCTTACGGAGCCCAGCACACCTCTGGCCTTGGCGCACCTGCGACAGGGAGAAATGAGGTTTGCTCGCCAAGGAGAGATGCGAAACCCCTGTCCTCGAGACCACAGCGGCTCACGCTGAGCTGCGACACTGGTTATGCAGGAGGACATGGCTAGAAACGCTGCAATTGTGCCTTTCTCAGCCTTTTGACACCCCTCATGAGATGACAATCTCTAGAAAGAGCAGTTCTAGCCCAAAGTGCTTGGCTGGTGCACCGAGCTCAAAGCCTTGGCCAGCTGGAGGTGGCTCTTCATCCCTGCCGTTTGCTCCCAAGGCCCCTATTCCTCCCTTGTTAAAAGCCGGGGCACCGCGCCTTTCTGCTTTGGTACTGGGTGTCACCTGGCCTCAGTGACTTTTTTGTCACATCGGCTGGATTTTGGATCGACTCAGAGCAAGCAAATGCGCGAAATGAGCGTGATAAACATGCTTGTTGGTTTTAGATAGGCACATGTATACAGACACACACAGTCATATGATTGTATATTTGCTATGCATGCATAGGGATGCGTGCCTTGTACATATTTATTACGATGAAGCATTTTTAACTTCTCAGGGCTGGTGTTCCAGGCCCGGCAGCATTTCCCCAGGAAAAAAACACTCGAGCTAATCCCTTCCAGCTAACGAGTGGCAAGGGCATGCTCTGGAGGAGCACATAGGGAGGGGGTTTGAGCTGAACCCTCGTTCTCATCCCAGGTGAGTCCTTCAGCCATCGGCTGGAAGGAGAAGGGGAGCAGAGGTTCCTCCCTCCCCTCCAGCCATTTTGCGGGCGATCGGCAGTGCCTGCCTTCCCACGCAGGCTCCACGAAGGAGAAAGGCGGGGGAGCACCTGGTTTGTGAACGTGGCTGCGGCTTTGGTGTGAGATAAGAGAGGAGCAGCTCAAAGCTGTCACGAACCGCACCGCTCTGCACACACCCGGGGCTGGATGCAGCCGAGCCGAGCATGGCAGCGGCTGCCCGGCCGCAGGGCCGACCCTCTCGCATGCTATGTGGAGGGGTAGCGTGCTTGGGCTGGCTGGAAAAGCACAATGCTGCGAAAAATGCTCACAACTGGCCAAACCAACCTGATTTCACATCTCAGCCTGCCAGCAGGATGCTCTGTCCCATCCCAAAGCCGTGCTACTGCAAAAGCAGCACCAAAACCGCTGCCAGGCGCTGTGAGCTGAGGTTTGGAGACCAGCTCTGCAAGAAGCAGCTTGACCAGAGCCCGTAGCTTTAGCAATCCAGCAGCATCACAGGATAAGGTAGGACCATGGGACAAAAATCCTGGCTGAACTTGGACTGGAGAGAAAAAGTGCTATTTTCTGAATGCTTCCTCCTTACACGCACACGGCCCTGCCACTGCGGTCCAAGTAGCGGGGCTGCTTTGCCATACACCGAGAGAAAGGGGTCTCTAAATCCCCCCCCAGCCCCCCGAAAACCCAGACTGTTGCTCGCTACCTTCCCCAGAGCAGATGACAATCTCCAGCAATCAGACCACGCTCCTTCGTTAGCTTTCACATGCCCATAAATAATATTCCATAAAATGCAAATCGAAATAAAACCTAAGTGCTCAGGGCACATTTCCCTCTTCCTCTATAACACACTCAAAGGGTTTTTTTTTAAAAGGCTATGGTTTATTGGCCTGAACTTGCAACGTTTGGCAATGGGTCCTTGCTACTAATTTAGACGCAAGCATGTCAGCGTGTTAATTACAGGCTGTGCGTGCGACGAGCAAAGCACAGCGATACCGCCGGCTCGAGAGACACTCCAGCTACTGCCTGCAAAACACCGGGCGAGCTCTCCAGGCGCCAGGCTTTGAACCCCCGGGTCTCCGACAGCGCTCCGCAGGGCTGGGCGCCCGCAGTCTGAGCGTGTGGGGCTGCGAATCCCTTACAACGCGAACCCCAAACACCACGAACCCCTCGGCGGTGCCGGCCCTGGCCAGCGAAATCCGCAGCCCCGCGGAGCCAGTGGGGCATCCGAGCGACCATGACCGACGTGCTTTCATCTTCGCTGGGCCTTGGGCTTAAAGTCTAGCCTAGAATAAAGCCCCAGCTTTCCCCGACCAGTCTGAGGCTACAGAAGAAAAAAAAAAAAAAACCCCGACAGAACCCCAAAAAACAAAACCCACTTGTGTATTCTGTCTCTGTGTTATCGGGGGGTGGTTCGGCCTCCCCAGGCTGTGGCAACCAGACACCGGGCTGCTCCGCTGTATAATGTCGGCCTCTGTTTTCCCGTGGCCCCCAGCAGCCCCCGGGGAGACGAAGCCCGTCCATCCCCGCTC